TCTTCCAGTTGCTAGATTTTAAAAACTATGAAACTGCTAAAAAAATAAAAAAAAACCAAAAAAAAACAAAGGACAGTTAGTGTACTGTCTTACAGGAAGCACCGTGAAACGTGTATTCACATGCATACACTTCACAAAATTCACTTAAACAGCTCAATAACAACACCGATCTAATCCTTGGCCTGAAAAATACGCGCCTGGCGTTTCTTGGTCTCCTCCTCCTCCAGCTTCTTTAGTTTCTCGAGCTCCGCCGGATCGGTTGTACGTGGCTTCAACTGCAAACGAGGCCTTCCGGGCGCTGAAAAAAACCGACGAAATTTACAAAAAGCACCTCAGCCATCCGCAATGGCTAATTTTATCTAAAATAAGCTAAAAGATGGGATAACTGATGGAAGAAAGCTAAACGATGGGGTAATTTAACCCTAAACTGACACTTCACATCAACATCTTGGGAACGATAGATCATAAGAGTCTCACCGTCGATTTTTTAACCCTTTGAAATGAGGTAGAATTTTAATTCACTTGAACAGTATGTAGAAGTGCGGGAGTAAAACAAGTTCAGGATCGAGCAAAAAGAAGCGTTTCCGGTTATCCTAACAGCTATGAAGGGCGCAAAAGAGGGGATATCACTGTTCAAAGTATCAATGTGAGTGAAAAACATAAGAACAAACAATGCCTAAATGGTAAAAAGTTCATCGAAACTGCCCAAGTTATCCGCGTACAAACTTTGACAACACTGTGATGCAACCAAACGCCGGTCGCAGCTATGCCAGATCCGCCGAACACTTTAAAAAGTCACTAACAAACAAATTTAAAAAAAAAAAAATTACCACTTGGATGCGCAACAAAGTCAGCACCATCTTGACCACGGCCTCTTCCAACACTGCGACCAAAACCGGGTCCTTCAGGCCGACTGAATTCTGGGCGCCCAAAATCATCACTTTTACTAGCAGCACCGCGTTCACCCGAACGGCTACTTCCTCCTGAACCACGACCATCACCTACAGGAAAATTTATTTCACTCTGCTCACGCTGCGGGCAGTAGTTATGCTTGATCCGCTCCTCAAGCAAGCGAGGCACGATGGCCCCTCAACAGTTTTTAGTAATTTTTATATGACTTAATGGATCGAAACGTCTTATCTCACTCTTATCTCCTTCTCTTATGCTGTAATCTATCGCACGTTCGCCATTTAGGCTTCCCGGGGTCAACCTGACTGCTACAATAGGCTTAAAAATGACACCCAATATATTGCAAAATCAAGTCTCATAGAGCATGCATCCAAAAGTATCCCATGAAAGAAAGAACCATCGATCCCCTTACCAGCACCCACTTGCTAAGATAAATACTACGGAGCTTTTAACAAGTTAAAAACAGGATTTTTACTATCATCTAAACTTACAGTTACAAAAAATCTACCCAAAAAACCCGTACCTGAGATAACTCGCAACGAAAAAATCACCTTTGAAGGGCTGTCCACCACCGCGCATACTACCACCACCACCTCCTCCACCAGCAGCAGCTCCTCGTCCACCAAATCCACCGGCGCGTCCACCTCCAGCGCGTCGATCTCGGCCACGTGGTGCATCAGCCACGTCCACCCGTAACACTCGCCCATCGTATTCCTTTTTGAATTGTGCCAGTTGGATTAATACAGTAAAAAACGCGAAACAAAATTCGATGAATGCGTAATTTCGGTTAATCCAAAATTCATTAGCAAAATAGGCACATACAAAAATTTTCATGAGCCTATCCAGGCTTTTTTAACTTTCATTATCAACAGTAGATTCCACTAGACACATTTTTTGGCAAGAATTCTCGGGGTTTCAGCATGGAATTCCCGACCAGATGCGCCAGGAGTACCAGTTCTGCGTATCCTATCGCTGAGGAATGAAACACAGACTGCTTTCCCATATATTTCTTAAATATATGGCCTGTAATTCCTATGCCTTCATTCCAATATTTCCCATATCTGGCTGCATGACCAGATGTTTTCATCAT